GTCAAATGTGATAACTTAAACACTCTCAGCCAGCCCCTCCTCTCCTCTCCTCTCCTCTCCTCTCCTCTCCTCTCCTTCAGGAGAGCTCATGCTTCATGCTGGAGATACAGCTGGGTCTGTGGAGAAGTTGTGGGATATAACTGGGGAGATATGGCCCCCTCCCAGTCTCTTCTTTAGAGTAATGTGGCTGATTCAAACACTTCAGTTAAAAAAAAAGTCCAACCCTTCAGGGTAGTCATCAGAGACTGAGTCTTCTGTTTACACGGTTGACCTTAGCTGTCATACTCTGGAGCACCTCAGGGCTACCAGAGAACATTAGCTATAATATGACCACTTTTCTCTGCAGTCCAGAGTCTGTGAGTGATAAGCAAACAGCCTGCTTTAAAGGCAGCAAGCACCCTTAATCTTGAGTTTTGCCTAGGCATAATAATATGCAGTTCAAAGTACTGTGTTCTGGTACAAGGCTAGATACAAATTTCTGTGACCATTGATTGCATCATGTATCACATATGGGTGAGTCAGGGATGTTGTGAAATATTTCCTAGTTACTTGTAACAGTAAATCCATAGCAGAATGTGAATTATGCTCTGATGCCAAGTGCTCCTTATCTTATTACGGCATCTGGGTGTGTATAGTTGTTTTACAAACTTCTATTATTTTATTTTGCCTTGGCTGACTCAGCATGAATGGCTCCTAAGTTTGATCACAGAATCACAGAATGGCTGAGGTTGGAAGGAACCTCTGGAGATCACCTAGTCCAACCCCCCTGCTAAAGCAGATTTACCTAGAGCAGGTTGCACAGGATCGCGTTGAGACAGGTTTTGAATATCTCCAGAGAAGGAGACTCTACAGCCTCTCATGGCAGCCTCTTCCAGTGCTCCTGTCACCCTCAAAGTAAAGTTCTTCCTCCTATTCAGATGGAACTTCCTGTGTTTCAGTTTGTGCCCGTCGCCCCTTATCCTGTCGCTGGGCACCACTGAAAAGAGTCTGGCCCCATCCTCCTGACAGCCGCCTTTAAGATATTTGTAAGCATTGATAAGGTACCCTCTCAGTCTCCTCTTCTCCAGGCTAAACAGACCCAGCTCTCTCAGCCTTTCCTCATGAGAGAGATGCTTCAGTCTCCTAATCATCTTTGTAGCCCTCTGCTGGACTCTCTGCAGTAGTTCCTTGTCTTTCTTGAACTGGGAAGCCCAGAACTGGACACAGTACTCCAGATGTGGCCTCACCAGGGCAGAGTAGAGGGGGAGGATAACCTCCATCGA